TGCGGGGCTCCGTCCCAGGACCCTGGCATCATGACCTGAGCCGAAGGCAGACACTTAACTGACTGAGCCCCCAGGCGCCGGAGCCCAAGGCTCCTTAAGGGCAGGGGAGCCTCCTCATGGCTATATTGACACCTAGTAAGTCCTTAGTAGAGGCTGACTTTTTAATGCCCCAAAGTTGTCCTCAAATATGTCCTGGTTATAGTCCCCTGGGCCCAATCAGAGCTCACAGGAGACAACGTGACTGAACTGCAAGCAACTCTCTTCTACAGAATTTCTGGTCCGTTTAGAGCGTTTATCCCACCCTGTCCTGAGGCTGGGCTACTTTTTCTTGCCTTTCTTCTAAAGAGAGTTAATACCAGTTTACGTGAAGGATGGACCATCAATCCTAGTCTCAAATCCTAGTCTCCATTTCTCCCAATAGAGATACTAGAAAGCCTTCCCAAATTCCCTGATGGACAAGCTAATTGGGCCCCCTCTTTCCCTGATTTTTGGGGGCGCTTGGGTGGCTCAGTCAGTTAAGCAACTGACTCTTGATTTCGGCTCAGATCATGATCTCAGGGTGGTGGGTCAGAGCCCTGCATCCGGCTCCAAGCTGGGTGCAGCAACCTCTTGGGATTCTCTCTCTCCCTTTCCCTCTGCAGCCCCCCACCCCCCCTCAAATACATAAAATCTTTTAAAAATAACGTTTGTAGTTTTTTTTTCATCGCAAAGTAATACACACCCAGTGTGGAAAATGGAGACAAAGGAGGTATGCCGAGAGAATACAATACCGCTATAATCCCACCCTCCAGGGACAATGGACCGGGGTTCTCAGGCCTACTTTCGGCTGAAGGAGGGACATGCCCGCCCCCGTCAGGGACGATCCCCCTTATCCAGACCTCCCCGGCAGGTCCTGAAGCGGCGCAGACCCAGGGGCAGTGAGCTGTTGACGCCTTTGGGGCAATGAGCCTGTGGCCTGGCGCACGGCGAGGCGGAGCCGGGGACGCGGGCCGCTGGCCTGGGCGACGCCGCTGGGGGCCGCCAGGTGGCAGGCGTGCGCCGCGGCCACGCTCCCGGCCGCCCGGGCCGCCCCGCCAGCCCTCGTCCCGCCCGCAGCAGGGTCGGTCCTGTCGGGGCGGGTGGGAGCGCCCGCGGGTCGCGGCCGTGTCCGCCAAGGGCTGAGGAAACCCACGGACGCCGAGCCTACCGGAGCCGCCCCACTGTGTCTTCAACAGCCCAAAAAGGTGGCGCCCCCCCCCCCCCAACTTTACAGATGAAGAAGACGGGGTTGAGACAGGGAACTGCCCAAGGGCAGGCAGTGACGGATGGGGGACAAAACCCAGGTGTCCCGACTCCGAGGCTCCCCCAGCCCCACGGCATGTACCACACGCCTGCAGTGCAGGCCTGCCTGGAAGCCCATGAGGGGAGAAGGTGGCGGAGCCCCCTTCCTTCTCGGGCCCTGAGGTTTCCTTTTGGGGGCCTGGGGAGTGCCCTGCTGGGTAGCTTGAGGCATTCTGGTCATGACTCACCCCTCCCCGCCGCCCCCAGCACGCACAGAGCCCGGGCCCTGTTCCTGTAAGAGCCTAGGAAGGGGTGGCCCTCTCCCCTCCGTGTCCTCTGTGGACAGGCTTGGCTGGGGGCCGGCGGCGGGAATGAGAGTGGGTGACGAGGGAGGGGGAGCAGCCAACAAGCAGGGGCCTGTTTCCTGCCTGGTCTGACCCTGGCTGTCCCTGCGGAGGCCCCGGCAAACGGAGCGAGGTCATCCGGGGCGAAATTCCAGCCCGAGCCCTGAGCAGTAACTTCAGTTTTCCTGATAAGGCTCAAGAAGGGACACCGAGTGGTCTCCCCACACCCCCCACCCTGTCAGCACCTCCACTCCCGTGAAGCCTCCGCTGCAGACAGTCGGCCTCGGAAAGAGACAAAGATAGACCCTTGGGCAGATAAGGAGAGAGACAGCGGGGGATAGACAGGGCAAGGAACACAGAGGAAGGGACGGGGAAGGACCCCGCAGTGCCGAGGCCGTGGGTCCGGAGCCCCAGAGATCGGAAACGCTCCCGGGGTTGTGCTTGCTACGGTTGCGCCTGGGAGATGGAGAGAGATGCGATCATGGCTGAAAACAGAAGGGGCTTGGGGTGTGGGGTGTGGGAGGAAAACGGGTTGGGCTGGCAGCTTGGTGCCTCTCCGCCTGGCTCCTAACGCGCGCAGACCTGGGACTGGCAGGTGAGGGGGACGGAGGAGTCCGCATGAGGCACAGTCTCCTAGACTCCAGGAGGCCAGGGGGGAGAGGTTGAGATGCGGGCCCTATGCCAGGGGAGGGGCAGACGCAGCTGGGCCCCGATCGCTTACTGGAGGCCGCTGACTTGGGACTTTGTCCCCTGCACACTCTGTGCAGAATATTCGCACCCAGCACTGGCTGTTTGGCTTGGCAAGTGAGCAAGGTGTAAAGTCGCAGCTGGCCTGTGGGCACCCAGTCACCGAATGCAGCCGAGTTAGTCACCACCGCTTCCCCCCCCACCCTGGGGACAAGGGCTCGTGCTGGCACACACAGTCCTCTCCCCGCAGGTACGGTACAGACGCCGTGTGCGGGTGAGTCATAGCTGCCTCCTCGGGGAGCGCCTGCCTGCACGCACATGCTCGCAGGTGCCCGCAGACGCCGCTGACACCTGATCCTGAGTCACGGACACCGTGGAACCCTGGGGAGGGCACGGAGAGTATGTTCTGCCATCCCTCTTTCAACACAGATTGCCATAGATATTCGCACGCATACACGTGCCCACCATACATCCTGCCTGCCCCGTCCTACGAGGGGGTCAGCAACTACATGGGGAATGAATAAATGAGGGACCGAATGAATGAATAAGTACGTGAAAATGTGAGTGACACTCACACCGCTTGGATAGGTAAAATTGTTGGGGCAGCGCTGCAGGGTGGGTCCCTAGTCTATGTCTGTAGGGAGTTGTCTTGCTCCAAATATAGCCTCCATGGGTGGCAGGGAGCCAGGGCTGTCTCCCAAACTGTGACTTCACTGGGCCTGAGGCCCAGCCTCCGAGGAGTTGGAGAAAACAGAGAAGAGGCCCCAGCTTTCTGCAGCCCGGGCTGAGCTGTGACACTGGAGTTGGTGTACCACTTGCTCAGGGCCTCGAGCTATAGGGCAGAGGGCTCTGTAGATGGGCCCAGAAAGGACTGGTTCTGGGTTGGGCCCCTGGGAACTGGCTGTCCTGAACTTCTGGGGCCAGATGTGCAGGAGGCCCAGCCGCACCTGAGAGCTGGCCCACCTGGGGGTTGCCAAGCCAAGGCCCATTAGATGGTCCCCCATCTGGGCAAGCCTGCTCCCAGGGCTGCTCCCCTGTCTTCTCAAAGCTTCCTTTCCCTAGCCACTCTCCTTCTGCCCTATTTCATCATCTGGAATATTGGATTATTACCCCAACCGGTCTTCCTGCTTTAGATTTCCTCCTCTAATCCATCTTCTTCACAACTGCCAGTGTTCCATTTCTAAAATACAGATCTGATTATATAACTTTGCTGCTCAAAATTCTTCCATAGCTCCCCACTGTTTAGCTGGTGTTCAAGACCCTTCATGATCTGGCCCCACTCTACCATGTGTGTTTTGAGGGGCTGACGTGTAGAGGGACAGTTGTTGGTTCTGACAGGTGGGTGGGTGGACCCCGGGCAGGCAGGCGCTCTTGCGGATGAAGGGCCTGGTGGGCTGTTTGACTTGCAGACAGATGACTAGATGTCTAGATGGTTGGGAGGCTTGATGGAGGGTGGAGATGTGGAGGGTGGGTGGAAGGATAGTGCTTGAGTCAAGACTATTTTGGTTGCAAGGAACAGACACCTGTATCATCAGGGAAGAGGCGGGAGACAGTTGAGGATAAAACCGGCTGCAGACCTCACCAACATACAAGCCTCCTGCAGGTTGGACCTGGCAGGTCAGGAAGGGCACCCTTCTCTCCATCCTTTGTGGATCTCTCAGTCTGTCCTTCCCATCCTCCCTCAGCTGGTTGGGCGCCCTCCCCTGTGCCCAGCGGCCATCCTCTCAGCTACTCTTGCTCCGCCCACAAGTTTTTATTAGTGCTTATTTATGTGCATGTTTGTGCCTCGACGACGCTTCCATGTGCTGAGAGGCAGACTGCGAACAGGAAGTTACAGCCCTCACAAAGCCTGCTTTCTGAGGCGGGGACAGGCCGGCAGCTGAGCGTGAGACGCGATGCTGTGGACACCGCAGAGCGGGCGATGAGCGCGGGGGGCCAAGCCAGGGCTGGGGGCTGTCACGCACATGCGCACATGCCGCGGAGCGTCTCTGGGCAGAGAGCGGAGGGAAGTGAGGGGTGAGCTCAGCCAAGTCTGCGGGAGGAGTGTCCTAGGAAGAGGGCAGCACAGGTGTGGTGGTGGCGGCTGGTGCAGATGAGCAAGGGGCCCATGGCTGGAGAAGAGGCCGGACGGGCGCAGAGGGAGGGGTTGCCACAGGTTTTGTAAGCTGTTGTAAGGTCCAGTCCAAGGAAGAGGGAATGGCACCGGGGGCGGGGGGGCTGGACAGAGGATGCCCTGAGCTTTCATTTCTAGGGGCCCCCTAGCCACTGTTGGGTGGAGGAGACCGCTGAGGACGCTCCTGCACAAGCCCAGGTGAGAGGTGGGCCAGGCTGGCGGTGGCGAAGGTGACAAGTGGACAGCTTGAGGGTGTACTTTGAAGTTGGGTCAGCTGTGAGTGTGAGAGCAGGGAACATTCCGTCGAGGACGACTCAGCCTGGGGCCAGGGCAAGTGTAAGGAGTTCCCGTTTCCGAGGAAGAGAAGCAAGGCTGCTGCTGCGGCGGGCAGGGAGTGCTGGGAGAGGAGGTGCACCTGTCACACGGTCAGGGCGCCTCTGCGTGCTCGGGTGGGGGCGTCCGGAGGCAGCCGGGGCTCGCGAAGCGCCTTCGGCCTGAGTTGCGACGACGATGAGGCGGCACTCCGCGCCAGCCGTCCAGCGAAGGGGCAGAGAAAAGACGGGGTCCGGGGCGGTTGGGGGCAACAGGCAGCACGGGCGCCCTGGGCGGAGTGGCCGAGAGGCTGGAGGGAAACCACGAGACACTGGGTGAGAGCGTGTCTGAAGCCAGGGCGGGTGCTGGCAGGAGCCGCGGAGAGCTCGGGAACGGCGAGGCTCCCGCTCACCACCGGTGTCTCCGTGCCCGCCCGGGTGACGTGCCCCGCTCAGCTCCGCTGCGCACAGGGAGGGCCGGGGTGCGACGTGGCCATCCAGCTCCGCCCTTCGGCACCGGCGCCTGCCCGTGTCTCCGGGAGCGGGGGCTTAGCGCGGGGACGCGGGGACGAGGGCGCTGCTCGCGGCGGCGCTGGCTCCCGGCTCTTTCCAGGCAGAGGCGAACGGCGGGCTTCGTACAAACCCGTGAGTGGAAAGCTCAGTGCGACAGTAGCTTGCCGTCGTTCGGGATGGAACCTGGCGCTGCACGCGACCCGACTTCTCAGGGAAACCCACACCCCGACGAGAAGCGTGTGTGTGACTGTCTACGTCCGTCATCCCCAGTACAGACGACCCGTTCGGAGCCGAGTTTTATGCCGGGCTCCCCGAGCTTTAAGACGCGCGTGCGTGCGTGTGCGTGTGCGTGTGCGTGCGTGCGCGGGGCGGGGGCGGCGGGGGGCCCGGGCAGCGTGGCCGGGGGCTGGCGGCGGGGAGAGGACAGCGCCCCGCGGCGGCCGCGCTCGCCCGTCCCTCTAGCTCGGCCCCTTGGGCGCGGAGTCGCCTTCGCAAGGCCCCGGCGGGCTCCAGGCCACCTTTCTGGGGGTCGTCCCTGCTTTCGCGGTCTAATCAACGCCTCGGGGGCAGGGCCCTCGGCGGCTACGTGTAAACACGCTCGCGTCTCGCTCGCCCTAAACGCGAACAAGCCAGGTCCTGTCTGACTCCACAGCCCCCCTGCCGCTGCACAGGGCAGTTCTCCCCACGCCGCTCTGCTGCGCACCTCTCACGGCCTCCCAGCCCACTGCAGCCTGCCTAATCGGCCCCTCACTCCCCTAGAGCGCGCGCCCTGAAGTCGTCAGTGACCCAGGACCCTCCTCTTCCTAGTCGTCCAGCAGCTTCCAGCACTGGCCCCTTGAACCGCCCTTCTCCGTTCCTTGCGGGCGCAGCATTCTTGGGTGGTTCTCGGCCGCTCCTCACCGCTCCCTCCGGGTCCACCCCGCACAGGCCACTCAGCATTAGTGTCCTTGGGCGCAGGCTGGCTCTCTTCTCTGAACTCCCGCCTGTGGCACCCCTGTCCGCCTCTCAGCTTGGGTTACCATCTACTTTCCTGCCTCCCTAGTGTGCATTTCCAGCTCATTCCTCTCTCTATCCAAATGCTCACTAGGACATCTGAAAGGCACCTTAGCCTGTATGATCCAAGGCAAACTTGGGGCCCTTTCTCCTCCGCGACAGGGCTGCTCAGCCCCTGGTGCTCCCTGTCTCCCCAAGAGGCTTTGCAACTCAAGAAACTAAGGGGCCTCGGACACCTCTCCCTGCAGCCTCCATGGCCAGGCTAACACTGCCCGCCCCTCCTTCTTCCTGTTGCCTCCATAGCTCTGGGCTCTGCCCAGTTCTTCACATCTTCACTGCCCCTTCCTAATCCTAACCACGGCCACTCATCTGCTGGACCACAACAGCCCCTAACGTGGTCTCTCCACATCCCTTCCCACTTGCTTCCCTCTAAGCCATTTTCCATGTTGTAGGCCCTCTGCACATGGGCTCTGCCTGAAGCCTCAGACATGGGGACACCAGTCTCCTAGACAGAGTAGGGCCTGCTGAGGGTCACGGCAGGGCTGGAGTTCCCAGGGCAGGAAGGCTAACCCTCATGCAGGCTGGAGGTTAGACACAGAGCTCACCCAGGCCTCCTTGGGAATGGAGAGGAGGCTCTGAAATTTGCAGTATCGGGTTTCAGAAAACACGGGGTCAGGGTCAGCAGAGCAGCTGGTAGTGGGGAAGGCCAGGCCCAGCTAATTTCCTGTCAGAATGGCCCAGAGGCCCCAGACCCTCTCTGGGCTGGCCACAGGGGAGGAGATGCCGGGAATGGCTCACATTCCTCTGGCTGGGGCTGCACTGAACCTCGAACCTCGGGGGACCTGCGGGGAGTGAGGAGGTGGATCTCCGAGGGCAGAGTCGGGGGCTCTCTGCAGGGACCAGGCATCTGGTGTCCAACCCTTCAGCTGGGATGGGGCCAGAGACTGTAGAGCAGACACAGAAAGAGCGTCACAGCTGCTGAAGCTTTGGGGTAAATGAGCCCAGCCTCATATTTCGGATGAGGAAACAGGCTCAGACAGGACCAGCTCTCACCAGGATCACATGAACGTCCCTGTTCTAAGCCCTGAACTCTTATTTCTTCGGGCCAGGCGTGCGTTTCCTGGAAGGCCCAGCTTTGCTGAGCTGTATGACAGTGGGGGACGAGCTGGGCTAGGCCTGTGCTCTTCTTGGCAGGGAGGCAGGAACCCTCGCTTCCAGACAGGGATATATGCTTCTCAGGTGGTCTGTGGGGTGTGTGGCCCGTGTGGAGAGAATGTAAGGGTGCTGAGTCAGCTATGGGCCCCTCTGTCCTCTCCTGGAGGCCCTAGCTCATTCCACCCGCAGAGGAAACTTGATGTCCTGGTCAAGTCCCCAGGAGGGTGACGTCATGGCAGTGTGCTCCTGGCCTTGGATGGCCCTCTAAGTGGCCTGGCCTGGCTGGGTGAGAGGTGGCAGTCACGGGTCCCCGCTAATCTCCTTTCTCTGGTGCCAAGACTGGCCTGGTTGAAGGATGATGGCTGGGGAGGGTGAGAGCGGGACATAGTCGCTCAGGCCTGGGTTCAAGCCCGTCTCCATCAGACACTACCATCCGACCTGGGCATCTGACCTCTCTCTCCAAAGCGGGGAGCCCTCAGCTGCAGAGCAGAGTGGCTACTCGATTTCTCTCCATCAAGTCGCACCGTGTGTCTGTGACTTGGGCAGGGGGCCGCGTGCCTGACGCTGTGGGACACTAGCTCTCCCAGAGCCTGGCAGTGCTGCGCCCCCACCCCCCCAGCAGGGCCCCTGTGGAAGTGTGCGGCCTGCCCGTGGGGCCAGGGCCCGGGCTTCTGCTGTCTGCCTGGCCGTCTTTCCTCCACTGGACTCGGAGGCTGTGGCCGTTTTCAGGTCTCTCGGGCACTAACCTGACAGTCCTGTCCCTCTCCCCTCTCTGCCCACTGTCCCCAGCAGGTTGGCCCCTCTACACATGCCACCTCGGGTATGTCTCTCCAGCCCCGCTGCCTGCCTTCTCAGATCTGAACAACCACAACAGCCGCTGGCTGCACCCGCCTTCCCAGTCCCCCTGCGCATCTTCACCAGGCAGAGCTTTCTAAACACATGTCCCGTCCTGGCTTAACTGCCTTTCCTTGCCCTCCTCCCTTCCCCTTTGCCCAGCTAGCTCCTTCTTGTCCTAAGACTTAGCCTCCACGTCATGTATTCAGGTGTTAACCTGAAAATGAAGAGCCACAACAAGAGGCAAACGAGTGTGTATTTGGGACCCAAGAATTGCAGTGTGGGGGGCACAGACTCTGGCTGTAACCAGAGAAGTGTCCTGCCTTCGGACGAGAGCAAGGGGCTTCACCAGAGAGAGGAAGGGGGGGATTCTGTGATTCAGTGCTGCCAGGCCGCACTGCTGTGGGGTGCACACCGATTGACTATTGGGTTAACAAACGGAACTATTCCTGGTATGCTTTAGTGACCTGCTCCATCTTCCCAAAGCCCACAGCCAACAGCTTTATGGCCAGGAGGCCTGCTGTCCTGTTGACTCTGTGGACGATTGCAAACAACAGGCGCGTTGCCCGGGTCAAACACGGGCAGGTGAGGCGGATTCTCGCGACCCTGTTTTCAAACGACTCCAGTCACGTCAGTTTTTCACACTGGAAGGTCTTCTCTGATGCCCCGGGGCTGGGCTAGGGTCTCCTCCCATTTTTCTGCCAGCCCCTAGCTGTCCCCACCTGCACAGCTGACCTTGCAGGTGTGCGTAATGGCTTCTTTGACTTGGGGTCCAAAGTAGTCTCGGAACAGGCACTCACACAGCAAGTACCAATAAATGTACTGACTGAATGAATAATGGGACCCTCTGTGGTTTTGGGTGACTGCCCCGTTCATGGTAGGCTCCATCCCACAGAGGGAGGTTTTGGGGAAACGCGAGCCCGGTCAGGCTTGCCCTGGAACCTCGCCTACTGAAGCCCCCACAGTGAAATGACCTCCAGCTGCCTCCCACTGGTGAGGCCTCTAGTGATGGGGTCACAGCAGGGACCCCCAACCCCACCTGCCAAACTCAGCTGCTCCTAGGAAATGTGGATGTTGAGAGAGGTCGCCAGAAACAGGTGGACTGTAGGTGACAGGTGGGCCTGTGTCACTAGGGTGGGCACGTGTGTGAGCAGGCATGCCCTCGTCTGTTGTCTGTGGTGACATGGCTAAGCGCACCAAGAAGGGCAGGATTGCTGCTAAATGTGGGATCTGTTTCCCTCAGGAAAATGGTGAGGAAAACTGAAATAAGCCAGCATGCCAAGTACACCTGTTCCTCCTGTGGCAAAACCAAGACAAAGAGACGAGCTGCGGGGATCTGGCGTCGGTTCGTGCCTGAAAACCTAAGACAGGTGGTGCCTGGACCCACAGAACCATTCCTGCCATCACAGTAAAGTCCGCCATCTGAAGACCGAGGAGTTGAAAGACCAGTAGAAGCTCCACCATTTGAAACATCGCTAGCCTGTAATAAATGTGTTAACTTATGTAACAAAATAAAAAACCCAGATTTATTATCTTACGGTTCTGAAGGTCTGAAGTCCAAATGGGTCTCACTGGGCAAACCTCCAGGTGTTTGCAGGGCTGCATTCCTTCTGGAGGCTTTGAGGGAGGATGTTTTCTTGCCTTTTCCAGCTTCCAGAGGCTGCCCACATTCCTTGGCCCCTTCCATCTTCAAAGCCTGCAGTGACTGGCCATGTCTCTTGTGTTGCGTCTCTCTGCCACTCACTTCCGCCTCCTTCCTCCACTTATAAGGACATTTGTGATGACGCTGGGTGCGTCAGGAAGATCTCTTGAGGTCAGCTGATTCCCGCAGACTTAATTTCATCTGCAACCTTAATTCTCCTTTGCCGCATCAGGTAGCATGTTCACAAATTCTGGGGATGTGGCCGTGATGTGTTCGGGGGTGGTGGGCATTATTCTGCACACCACAGACGGTCTGTCTCTTTCTGACTCTTTGGGCATGTCTGTCTCTTACTCATCCAGAGACTCCTCGGGACCCAGCCTGTACTAGGTGTTTGTTACGTATTTGAATAAATCTGATTCAATCAAATGATAATATTGAGAATTCATTTGTGCTGGGTACTTTCATACATATCATCACAACTTCTATTCCCATTTTATAGGTGAGGAATATAAGGCTAGAGAAGTTAGGCCAAAAAAGCTAGTACGTGACAGAGCTGGGAGCTTCTGTATATACTGCTGTCAGGTGGGAAATGCAGACACCTTTGTTCCTTTGGGTCTAGAGCTCCAATGGAGAGAAACCCCTAGAACCTGGGTGCTGGCTGTGAAAATGCACCTCTCAGATTTCAGACTGGCCCCTGTGGCTGCGCTCTGATATCCTCAGGGTTTGCGCTGAGGCCCACAGGCTGCTCTCGGCCAATGACTAAGGTGGGTTCCTTCTTGGGAGATACAAGGTTTCTCTGACAGACGGTCTTGGCACAAGGGCTCCCCGTTCGCCTTGCTCCTTTTAGATCCGAACCGCAGCCTCAGACTCTTCCATTCCACCTTCCATCCTTCTGTCTCTTGCTCACAGGGGTCAAACCTACATCCCAACCTGCCGCCAAACTGTGCCCTGCTCATCTTCCCTCATGCGTGTTCCCCCCCGTAAGTCTTTTGAACATAGCGAGTCCTATCTTTGTAGAAGGACCAGGACCACCATAAGTGGTCCGAGGAAACAGTGGCAAGATGGGGATTTGGGACTGTCTCAGAGGGGATGGGGAAGAGGATGCCATCCTGGTTGATGGGGCCCCAGATAGTCCCTAGAGCAAGGTAGTGGCTCAAATGCTGAAGAGTTCACTGGTGAGGACCCCGGGAAACTTCCTAGGGGAGGGGAATGTTATGGTAGGTGTGATCATCCAGGCATTTAAAAAATAAGGCGGGGTGGGGGGGAGGTGGAACCATGCCCCCCAAATTGGCTGGTTACCGTGAGCGCAGGCTGATGGTCTGCAGAGGGACCACTGGCCACGGACAAGCAGTTGCTGGGCAAGTGTGCCAGCCTGCAAGCCTCCATGGAAGCTGACAAAGAAGCGCTTATCTCTGGCAGTGGAGGACAGACATAGCTGAGTGGCAGGCTGAAGATAAGAGTTGCACAGATAAGTATGAATGCTCAGCCAAGGTAGTTATGTGAAGGTCAGGCCCTGGTGGGGAAAGTCTGGAACCCTGCAATGCGAGATAAAGACATCAGGATGGAGGCCCCGGAGGATGCGGGTGCTGCAGCCTTCCTGACCCTCTAGGCTTACAGAGTTGGCCCCCCCTCCTCCTAAGAGCCAGCACCTCTGCTATGCTCATGGATGCCACAGAGGTCTCACCCCTGCCGGGCAACAGGTACCTTCTCGGGAGTGGCCCCCACTTTCTCCCCTGCTAGCCAAGGACCGTAATTAGGGGGTTGAATTCCAGAATAATCCAGCTGGAGACATACTGGGCCTGCTAGTGAAGGAAAGAGAGTATACATGAAAGAATAGTAACTACCACAGACAGACACTGGCAGGAGCTAGAGGAATGCTCCTGGAATTGGATTTTGGGAACGCTTGATTAAGGGGGCTGGAATGTAAGACTGGATAAGCAAGAATTCATGGATTTGGGGGCACTTTCTTGAGACACAGATTTAATACCCTGGATGGAACACGAGGCGATAGGGCAGATTCTGCTGGGGGTGGCTCTTAGAAGTCTGGAAAAAGCAGTGGCCAGCACTCAGTGAAATGGAAATACCCGAGTTTTCCTGGCAGATGGTAAAGAAGAAATAAGAGAAGCTGGCAGAAGTGGGTGGGCTGGAATGGATATATTATGTAAGGCCAGTAATGGCGGAGGGGTAGGCAAAGGGGTTCAACGCACAGAAAGTTGTGGAGAAGGCACATGGAGCATGGTGTCCCTACGGGCAAACCGGCAGCCAGTAAGGCTCTGCTTAATAACTACAATGAAAAAAGCAGACAGGAATGGAGGTGCAGGGGGCAGGCACAATGGAAAGCCTTGGTCCCCTGCTCAGTTCCCAGGCCTGAGCCAATTTGCAGATCTGGAACCCATAGTCTAAAGAGGGACCAGGGGTCTAGGAGGAAGGACCTTGCAAAAGTGCAGCAAGTATGTACGGTGATTCCTGAAGTTTTCTCCCAGAGAAAACTGTTTATTTGGGTGACTATTCACTAGAGAAAAGGGACTAGTAGACACCGGAGTTTTAGCTGACATGAACACCTGAGACTCAAAGCATCGTCATGGGCCCTTTTCCAGAATGGGGCCCCTGGAGGTCAGGGAAGAGGGGAGTCACGGCTAAAGTCTGGCTGGGTCCGAAGCTGCCACCAGTCCTTTGTACCTGAGTGCTTAGTCAGAACTCACGTGCTCTGACAGGGGCAGTGACCCCCACATCAGGTCACTGGCTTACGTCGTGGGAGCAATCATAGTAGAGAAAGCCAAGTGCAAGCTTCTGAAACTGCTTTCTCCCGGCTCCCTTGCCTTGCCCCAAATAGTAAATAAGAAAATCTCATACCAGGGGATATGGCAGAAAGTAATGCCACCATTAACAACTTCAAGGATGAAGGGGTGGTGGTCCCTACTGTTTCTCCATTGAAGTCACCCACCTGACCTCTGCGTGAATCCGACGCATCCTGGACGAGGACTAGCTGGACTGCTCTGGCTGCGCCAAGGAGGAGCCGCGCTCGCTGATGCTGTGCCAGACACGGGATCACTGCTAGAGCTGATTAGTAAGGCCCTCGGTATGTGGTCTGCAGTCATTTGGTCGATGTGCTCTTTTCCATTCCAATTAGAAAAGGGGATCAGAAACAGTTCATAATCACATGGGATAGACAATAATACTCATTTACAGTTTTGCCTCAGGGTTGTGTAAACTGCCTTGCCCTCTGTCTTAATGGCATCTCAAGAGATCAGGGCCATGTGGATATCCCACAGAACATCACACTGATCCATTACATCAATGAGCCCGTGCTGATCAGGCAGGATGAGTAAGAGGTGTCCTATCCTGGAGGCCATGGCACAGTCACACACACTGCAGAGTGTAGCATAGAAAACCGATGAAGATTTAAGGACCTGCCCCTTTAGTGAAGTTTTTAAGGGGTTCAGTGGCCAGGGAAAGAAAGTGAAAGTAAAGAGTAAGAGAAATTGCTGTATCTTGTATCTCTTGCCGCCGTGAGGAAAGCACAGTGTCTTTGGGCTCAGGGACAACACAGTATTCTGGGTGAGGTGTAGAGCTGCCGGCTGCAGGTAGGTCCCACAGCAGAGGCTCTGCAACAGGGCCAGGCTACCGTGCCTGGAAGCTGGAGGTGTTGGGAGTGTTGGCAATGGGGACGGGGAAAGATGTAGTATAGAGCTCATGGCAAGTCCCAGTGGGAGAATCCCGAAGCAGGCCCCTGGGAGGCCATGGCAGGGCCGCGCTATCAGCAACAGCGAATTACACACCTTCTGAGAAACAGTTTCTAGCATGTTACCAGGCTCTGGTAGAGACAGAACACTTGACCACCGTACACCAAAAGGGACATCTGAAACTGTCCATTATGATTTGGGTTCTGTTGGATGCTTCACATACTAAAAACGGATGGGCCTGGCAGCAGTCCATAAGATGGAAATACTACCTCTGGGATTGAGCCTGAGTGGGGCTAAGGGAGATGAGTAAACTGCATGAGGATATAGCATTAATAATTTTTTAGATTGATTACATGTTGAAATAATATTTTTGATATACTGGGTTAAGTAAAATATATAAAAAATAAGATGAAATGTTATTAAAATCAATTCCATCTATTTCTTTTTACTTTAAAAAAGATACATTATATGGCTTGCATTTGTATCTATTTGACAGTGCTGCTGGAAGCCCTCTCTCTTCATCAATACTGACTTATTCTTTGCTTAATTCATAGCTCCAGTTGCTGTTGCTTGTTACCAGCTTGACATTGTTCAGAAATTCTTTATGGGATGATGGGGTTACTTAATAACTCTTAAGAGAACCCCCAATGAAATATCTAGAAATGTCAATTTCTGTTGAGAAGCAAACGTGCCGGGCCATTAACAGTTTAAGCTCTAGCTCTGGAATGGAGGCCACTGGGTGGAGGGCTTTGGGAAGTGAGACTAAAGAACTTGGGCTCAGGGTTTAGGGAGCAGGACCTGCACAATGCGCTCCTTTCAAGATCTGCCTCTTTCAAGAGCCCAGCTGTAGAAAGGCTTTGTCACAGGCGCCACAGGTGAGGGGTGGCGGATAGGCTTCTTATAAGGGGCCAGGCCGTAGTCTTTTTTCCTTGGAATCCAGTGCTCTTCTCCCCCTCACAGCTAAGACCTGAGGAATGAATGGCATCTGGATATTCTTGTGCTGAACCCCCAATCTCAGTGGTTTCCCTTGTGATTGAATTACAGGGACACAGCTATTTGAGGGGCGGGGGCAGAATCCTGGGACCAGTGAAGCCTGAGGGCCCCCGCCTGGATCACCTGAGCCTCTAGACTGAGGGAATCTGAAGGCTCCGGGGGCCGTTCTGCCTGGCTCACAGAGGGCTCCTGGATATGAAAAGACTTAGCGGTTCAGCC